TTCCTTCTAAGAGCTGACCGTCACCAGCCGAAGTGTCTTGTTCTGTTCCCTTAGTATCAGAAGGCGTGTCAGCGTTGGTTATTGCTCCAGACACACCTTTTGGCTCTGGAGAAGAGGTCATTGTTTCACCTGGAGTCAACGCTGTAGTCTGCTCTCTCGTCACATTATCATTTGTCGGTGTATTAGATTCTGAGTTTGCTGACATTTCGACAGTATCATCAGAATCGGCGTTCTTAGCAGGAGGGCAATCTGCCTCCGGATGGCCCTTTTTGTCATCCTTCCGAATTTCATCTCTGCGCCTATAGTCCTTCTTCTTGTTCCTCTCTTGCTCGAAACAGCGTCTTCTTGAATTGTCAGAGTGAGGATAAAGCGTGAGGAAGGATGCAGGCTCCCCTAAAAACGCACGGACATACGAGAACTGAAATCAGCTGGCCTGTGAAACTTGTAAAATGTAACGAGACCGTCCAAGATTTTGACAGACCTTCAACTCACCATTTCCCACCGGGTGGAAATAACTTGATGACCTAATTGGCCCTCTTTGGCCACGATACGATGAATTACGCCATCCATCATGTTGATTATAATTCTGAATTGAAGGGTATGATAGCATCTAAAAATTTCACGCTACTCCGGTAAGAGCATTTTGGTGCAATTGTTTGAATGATTCCCTTATGTTCGCCAGCCTTCAGACTTCGCGACGGCAGCGCTTCGGTCGCGCGTTCGACGCGATCGATGCGCATGCTTTCGACTGCATTGATCGCGTCGAACGCGCGACCGTCGCGAAGTCTGAACACTGCCTTCGAGGGAACTGGTTCACCTACACCGGAGCTGAATCCACATTTTCTAAGCGCCCATTGTTCCTCTTTTGAGCCACTTTGGTACTGCACCTAAAAGCTGCTCTTACTGGAATAGCCCGTGCTATGAAAAAACGAGAGATTTCAAGGAGAAAAACTAACGCAGTCTGGCTTTGGGGGGAGGGTGGTTGGGTATTGTGCTTTTTCGCTAGTTCCCATCGACATGCCGAGCCACCAAGTGGAGACCTATGAAATTGTGCGAAGGCGCGAAGTGACACCAGTCAATGTTTGAAAGTAGAGACCACTTCTCTATCCTTCTAAAGCAATGAACACGTAAATAGGAGGAAACGAAAGTGCAAAATGCTGCCCCGCTCACCCCCCCGCCCCCCCCAAGCCGTACTGCTCCAAAAAACAACATTAGTACATCTCTATTGTTCCTCATCCATGTAGTGGAATTACTTGGGCCACTTCTACACTTCCAGTCCCTGTTCGAATTGTTCTCGATGTGGTAGGGATCGTACCGTGAAGAACCCTTCTGAAAAGAAAAATGAAAAATCATCCATTCAAACCAGTAAAAACCAGTTCAACAGTAACATCAACGAGCGAGCTACCTGCACGTTTGAAACATTTCTTGGCTGAAACAAGCTTGGCACATTGGTGTCACTTGCACTTACATAGGACGTAAGTGGGACGTAAGGTCTCAGCCAATTCGGACGCTGGATGCTTTCGCTACAAAAAAAAACAAAATTCTTAGGAAGTCCATAGTCACTATGTGGGTCGGTAACTCTACCTGAACATTCCTCCGGTCGTTATCGCTTCGCTGCCTGCGACTGTCGCCATGTGATTGCATCACACGCGTGTAGTAGTTGTGTGTATTGAGCTGAAGACTATTGGGATTCAAGTTCCCCTAGTAAAACAAAAGAAATAACTGAGAACTCTTTCCCCGGTGAATTCGTTAAAAAGCGCAGTTCGGCGACGGAGGGAGGGGGCATTTTGCAACTTCGCTGTCACTTGTTACGGGTTACAAGTCTCACTCTGGTGAAACCTGTGAACCCTTGTGAAAAGCAGTAAGCTCGCAGAGCTATCATGGTAAAAACTGTTATTTCGTGTCAGCTCATGAAAATCTCTTTAGAAGGGTCGACGCCGTGACGGGAAGTAACAAAAAAGCAAAATGCCCCTCGCCGCAATCCAAGGAAATGCTTCTGTTAAAACCTATGCGCTTACAACTATTGGGACACGGATTATCAATAGCTGTATTTCAGGAAATCGAAGGAGCGGCATTTCGGAAACCACCAAAAAGCTTCTTAATAGGTTGTTGCTTGTCACACCGCGGCACTGTCATGTTGAATCAATTGGGTCCTACTGCGAATGCTCCGCAGGTGACGTCACTTGCAGTGCCGCTTCTGCCCTTCCCTTGAGTGCTGAACAAGACCCACTGCAACGAGTGTGAAAGGTTTTGCTAAGTATCGGCAGGGAGGGTCGGCGGACCGAAACGGGGAATCCGGCGCTGTCGCGGAAATGGCCGGTTAGGTAACTATCGACTGCGCTAAAATGAAAAATGGAGGTGCAGTCATGGTTAGTGTTTCGCCGGTTATCCCGAAGGCGGCAGCGCCGGATTCGCCGGTTCGGTCGGCCAACTCTACCATTGGGTACTTATTGGAAAATTTCCACTGATGCGCTTGCTCAGTCCATTCCGCAGAATCGCAGACTAAGGACAACACCCGAGCATGAGGTTTTTCAGAAGAATCAGAAGAAAGAGCTCAAATAAGGAGTAGGAGCTAAACGGCAAAATTGATGAAGAAAGCCTCAAAAAAACGGAAATGAGCTATTGCTAGTAAACTTATTAAACTGTGAGTTAAACGTAAGAGTAATTGCTCTGACCTCGGTAGAACGCGAATCCGGGACTGTGCTTGCCTTTTCAGGTTCCTCTGATGTCTTTTCTCCGACCGGAGCCTTTTCCTCTAGCCTTCTTTTCTGAAGAAGGATGAAACTCGTTTCGAAAGCCAACAAACTACAAAAAAATGAACCGCAAGTGGCAAAAGTGGAAATTAAGAAACCAAACAACTCACAAAAGTTGCGGAGGCAACTGCGCTATCTTCCAAGGTTGTCGATTTTCCTTCCGAAGACTCATTCTTAGAAGGCCGTCTTTTCTTCTTCTCTGATAAGTTTGTTCCACAATCGCTTCGCTGTGTTCTCCATCCTCTTCGTTCGCGTTTGTCTTTCTCTTCTGAGAGATGGGCCTAAAAAGCTCTATCATTGAGTGATTAAGGGCACTACAGCTACAGCCAGGGCACACCATAGTTGGGATTCCTAAAGCAAAGCAGCAGAGAAGGTGTCGTATCTCGTTGCTGGAGGGAGGAGGGATCGCAACTGGGCTCAAAGTGTCCTTATATGCTCACTTCCCCCTCCTGATCGACACTTCAGCAGTCAAAACATCTCCCTCGGTAGACTAACATCCCCTCGCTCCTTGCCTGATTTTCTGGGAGGCCATCCTAAAGAAGGAGGTTTCTTCATTGAAAGGGTGTGCCCGCTGTTGAAAGCTTCCGACAAAACAAACCCCCTCCGACAGAACTGGCAACTGTAAAAAAAGAGACTATGATTAAAAATACATAGACAAAGAAAAAAATACCCGGAAAGAAACTTTAAACCAACTTTCTTCGCAGTTCCGGGCTCACTTGCTCGTCGATTTCTCCCAGTACTGTAATACTTCTCTGTATTCTCCGAATTTTTGCTCTCGAGGTGTTGACCTTCACAACTCTTCTCAGCATCCTTTTTTGGGAAAAGAGTACTCGCCAGTTCGCAGGCGAGGAGTTCGAAAGCTTTCTGAAGTATAACGATTTTTCACTGCAGCATTGGACATGGAACATTCAATTTCGTACCCTATCAAACGAAAGTTGGCACTGGTAACCTGGAGGGGGCATTCAAAGAGCTTACTGCGCAGGGTTAGGATCTCAGTAATGAGAATAATGACTTTTGCCTAAGCATACAGAGAAGGAGCTACGAGGTAAGTGAACTAATTCCAGCCAGATCCAGTAGGTAACGATATTGGTTCGGCGTTAATGCCAGTCGCTGCGTTCCCTGACTCATTAGAGTTCACCACAGGAAAAGTGCGAAGTTTATCAGTGATAATTCCATGAGCAATAACAGGTATCGTTCCGAAGAAATCGTCCCCTTCGGAAAGGGAAAATGGAAATCGAGAGGTGGATGTACACGAGCAAACTCCAAACTACCCACGAGATCCCAGTTTTGCACAAGGAGTTCTTCGAACAATCCTATACAAGGTTATTAGCGCCCAAAATTTTCCTTGAAGTGGCGCGTGAACTGCCATACATTGAAGAAACGGAACTCACTTGGAACTCAGACTTCGAATCACTTGCTCGTCTTCTTCTAAAAACCCTTTTCTTAGAAAATGCTGCTTTTTCGGTTCCCTGTTGAGGATCTTGGAACACATCGTCAGCAGTTTTTTCGTCTCTTGTTTTCCTTCCATTGGCTAATTTGTTTTCACTACTCTGAAAAACTAGTTGGAAATCAAGTTTTTTCTCTGTTATGCGAGAATGCGCTCATAAGCAGGGATAAAGGAATTATCAAGGGCCACCGTGATTCTGAGTGGAAGCTGAGAAAGCGGAGCACTCCAATAAGAGCCTGATTGACGTCAAGCCCCTCATTTTCTCTCGGCTGTACTTACTAGATAAAGGGAAGGAAAGAGCTGCTCAAAAAGGGAAAGGCGTAAGTGTCCTCCGGATTACAAAATCAACAAAGTGAGGTAAAGTAAGAGTTTGCGCACTGACGAATCAACGATCCGAAAGAGTGTGCGGCTTAGGAGAATCAGTCATTTAGACCAAGAATTCTGCATATTTCTATGGGAAAACAGGTTCATGTTGGAGTATCGCTAGACGACGTTCATACTTTGCAAATGAGAAGAACCAACTAATGGGCATCAATCGATTCTCTTTCCGATCCTCAAGAATCACAGACTCTCTCACCCGATAAGGAGCACAAAAAGGAAAGTATTTTCATTTATCCAGAGTCTCTGAAGAGAACTCACGACAAGAGAATGTAGCTAATATCGTCCCGAAGGTAGTGTCTAGAGGCATGGAAAGCCGGGGGCAGCCTCATTCCGGCTCTCCTGACACCCCCCTCCCCACTGATTGCGAGTATGTCAGCTATAGCTGGAGGCCAGGATGCCCAATGATGGGTTCTCCTTACATGCGAAGTATGAATATCGTCTAACGAATCATCATCATCACAGATTTTTTTTGCAATAGAGAGAGGACGAGCTCAATAGAAAATAAACATACCTGCTGTGAAGCAAAATGTGATGAATCTCTCTTCCCATGATAACGTTCCGATCGTTTGTTATTCCGGACCTTAATGGTTACTATATCAAGCTGAAAACTAACGAAAACAATTTTCATGCCTTAATCTCTTGAGCAGTTCAAGGGCCACTGAGGCAGGAAATCTCGAGGGCGGCTCCTAGCTTTTGTGTGCTGTTGATTACATTAAACCTGCCAGTCACTCAGAGGCACTTATTTATTTGGGACTATTGCGGTAAATGCAAAAGAAAGCAAGGAAAATCCTCTATGGCAGAAAGAGAATTCGTTAACTATAAACTCAATGCTTGAGCAGGTATACTTTACAGTTAAGCTGAAAAGGAATATGCTAAGTTCCGGATGCCGCCCCAAACTACAGTCAGGGGCACTGTTGTAGTTTAGTGCGTCTTCGGGCAGGCGCAAAGCATCCAGGACACATAAATGAAAAAATACTCCTTGCATCATGAAAGGTTAGAAAAGCCTTTTTCCATCAAACAAGAGAGAGGAGGGGAGGTCCTGAGCAGGTGAGGTGGTTCACCCTTGAGATTCTTCCCTGGGCGTCGGCAAAAATCCTCAACCACTGGCTCGTAATCGTTCCACGGACTGTCAAATCTCGGAACAAACTCAAGAAAAATTCCAAATAAATGTTACAGGAAGAAAATCGAAGGGTATAAGACACTCCTCGCACATCACTGCAACCACCATTATCCAAGGAACTACTGCACAAAATGTCACAACTTTCTGCACCAAGCCGGCGCCCCTCGCCAAGACTGGCCAGGCAAAACCTGCTGGTGCATGACCCTTATACTTTCCCAACTTAAAGCTCGCATGCCAGTCTAATTCTATGAGTTCGAACGCCGTATTTAGGGAAAGTGTTCTAATAACAGGTCAAATAGTGAAGGAAATGCCAGCAGACGGGAAGGTCAATGAAATCGAACATGTTGGCGTGGTAAATGAAAGCAAACCTTCGGAGGAGCATCAGAATCGGACTTGACTTGACGTCTTCTCTCACAATAAGTGCGACGATTGTTCTTGGAACGATTATTCGTAATTGCCTGGTTCTTACTCGTGTCGCCAGCTTCGTTGGCAGTCGACGTCCCATCTCCTTGAGCAGTCGGCTGTTGGTCCATCTTCCTGAACAGCAAATAGTCTGAACGAATGCCCCAAAATTCGAGAAGATGAAAATATGACGTCAAGAAGAAAAAAAGAACCAATTTGAGGGATTTCAAGCGAACTTAAAGAATCAACCGTCAATCTATCAATATCGCAGCTCCCTCGTGTAATTGCGGTTAAGCAGAGGCTACCGTAATGGAAATAGCTCATTGCGAATGAGAGCCGCCTCTCGCGCTGGGGCCGAGACAGTCGCACTCTCGCAACCATAACATAGGAAATCCGATTGTGTCCAGCAGAGGAACTCGAACACTGTCTTCTGAGGGGGCTCGCGCGTTTTCCCAAGTTTAATTATTTCTTGGTGTTCTATTAGCCATTCTCCGGATTCGGATTTACCTGTCCATGAGACCTAATTAGGTTTAGTTAATGCTCATCTGCCCTAGGCCGTGAAGAAAACGACAGCAAGCGTAGGAAAAACACTGAGCGCTCGGATTAGAGACCTGACGTGGGAAGGCATACCCTGGCGCAGCGCATCCTCCAGTCGCGCACATGCCAAGGAGGGCACGCCTCGTTTAAGGACAATCTGTGCACTTACTTCCGTAGATCCTGGTCCCTGCCATGTGGGAGCTAAATGTTCCACAGCTGCAGGGCACTACTGCCACACGTCTAAACGGCTGGACGGCAGTGATATCCGCTGCCACCTCTACACTCTGCCAGCTGGCCAGCCGAACGCCTAAGCACAGCCAAAACGCGCTGCTTGTCTGCGCTCTCCTCATTTCTAATTGTTCTCTACTTCTGTCTGTATTCTTGCTGTGGGATTTTCGTATATACCTAAATACTGCCTGGGGGCAAGCGCGAGCAGAGCCGGGAGAGGGCACCTGGGCATCACTACTCCCCAGCTTCGTCCCGTGCACTTTCGACCTCAGGAAGCGCGCTACTGCTTCTGCGGACCCATTATCTCGCACATGACAAGGACATCTACGGAAGTGAGTGTGCAGGTTGTCTTTAGGTGCGTGGACACACCCTCCCCATCCTTGGGATCTAGAGTGCAGGATCAGGAAAACTGGGCAGCTATAGTGAAGCAAACGGCGTCGCAATGGAGTGCCGCTTCTTCGCTTTTTGAAGTTGTAGGAGTTTGACAACTAGATTTCTGGATACAATCGAACAAGTACTTTATCTGTGGTATCAGTGATTACAAAAGCATTTCACAAGCTGAATCACTTGTATTTGCGTTTTCTGCATGTCCATTTTGCCGCCGACGGGCGAGGTTCAGTCGTTTTTCTATCCATTGGTTGCGTAGGTGTCAGTTTGTCCATGAGAAGATTAATTAAGGTAAGTGTCCTAATGTTTTACTTTTTAAAGAATAATGCACCAATTCAGAAGCTGATTTCAAGTAGATTGATGAAGAATCACTTGGTACTAACGAATACCTGCACGTGTGTGGTACAGCTCGGTCTTGGAGACTTTTTGCAGCAGGTTATTCACGGAGATGTCGCTGAGAATGGCTGGGATCGTGGGCGATCGGGTAAGTTTTACCGAGTATTTCTGCACGTCTTTAACTATACTCCCACAAAAAGTCAAGCACGCGGTGTTATTTTTCTGTTCACAGAAGAACGTGCCGGGATATCCGCTTGTTCAGAACGAATTCATGATCGTTAGCATGGGGAAAAGTGCCGTGTCACCGTAGTAGGGACGTTCTTCGGCATCAGCAAGTGTTATAGACAGGAACGCTTGTCTGAGCCATCTAGATGCTCTACCGTATTTCTGTCATCGCCATCCGAACACCCTACAAGGAACAACCCAAAGCTCCCGGTCCTCCTGGAGTTTGTGAAGAAACGGCACTCCCACCGTGGCAGTTCATTCCCTGTGGAGTCTACGTGTCGAGAAGCATTCTGAAGAAGCTGCTTTCGCCGCTGGTATGACAAAGTGCTGTAGATGGCTCAGTCCAGGATCCACACGCCAACTGCCAAAAAAGATAACTCTGTGATCACAGTCGTTATCGCTGAAGATAACTCTGTGATCACAGTCGTTATCGCTGAAGTCAGTCGGAGCTTGTCAGCGGCGCGCCGTTCAGGCGTAACCGGGAACTGTGGATTACTGGTGGAAGAAGTGAAGCCGACAAGTGGTAAACAAGCGCGAGAGTACCACCAACTCTTCCGATTCGTATTCAGCAGTTCCATGAATGCGGTCTCATCTATCAACATTCATTCATTAGGTGTCCGGTAGGGCTCACCCTCAGCTCACAAAGTCCATGAGCAAAGGATAGTCGTGCGTCGAGTTATCCTTTCGTTTCCTTGCATTAAAGTGTTCCCGTCCTCGACCGTCCACCTATACGATCAGCTTAGGCCGTGCTTTTGAATGACTTCTACATCTTGAAATGTTATGGGCCGAGCAGTATATCGAAAGGACACACCTTTTCTGAATTATTGGTGTCAAATATCAGAGTGTGACAAGCGTTTGAACCAATCTCTTTCAGAAAGATAGCATTCTAGTTCGATTCGGGAACATGGGCCCGCCCTATATATACTCCTTATCCCTGAGACGGGGTAGGCGTGGCATTCGAACATGGCACAGAACTGGTTACTCGTGGGATATTTCAATTTGAGACAACCGCCATCTTGTTCTTTGTTGGACAGAGACGTGACCACATTTGGGTCAAAATGAAAATATCTCTCCAAAAGCATAGCCACCACGACGTTTAGTTGAAGTACGCAGCCACGCCTACCTCATCTCAGGGATTTCGAGTGTAGAACCCCGTGCTAAACAATCCGTGCACGTGCACCAGGTGAAGGATGGGCGGGTCTTATAAGTTCTCACTTGTTGATATCAGCTCTTTCTCTTCGTCACCTCACTCTCACCATTCATCATGGAGAGAGTTAGTAGCGCAACAATCGCACCACCATAAAGCCTTCTGGAGTGGAACTTGGGTGTCGCCGGTCGTGTCACCGGGGGGGGGGGAGGGAAGTCACGCTTAGAGATTTCTCAGAGACAGCAGCGGCACATGCGCCATGCTTGCAAGCAAAACTACCGGGTCCGAAAAAGGCGCCTGAACATCAATGA